TATATCTCAAACACAAATATATAAAAATAAAAGACATTAGTATTTGTAGAATGTAACAAAAGCACTGTTTACAATGAAATTTATAGATTTAAATTCTTATAAGAAGGTATAAAGTAATGCACTTCTGCATCCACTTTAATAAACTAGAAAAATAAATTTAACACTAAGTGTGTAACAATGGTGATAATAACAAAAGCAGAAATCAATAAAACAGAAAATTAAATAGCTTTATATAAATAAACAAAATTTATAATTACAATTAAACAACTTTAAAAACTGCTCTGGCACCAGATAGTTTTACTGATGAATTATAACAAACATATGAAGAAAAAATATTCATCTTATACAACTTCTTTCATAAAGTAGAGAAAGAGGTATCACTTCCCACCTCTTATCATGAAGCTATTTTATCTCTCAGACTAAAATCAAGCATGAACAAGATAAGAAAAAAATTGCAGTTAGAGTATATAATGAACATATAGATACACAATGCTTAACAAAATAACAGAAATGAAATCCATCCATACATTAAAAAGTTAATATACCAGACCAGGTTTGAATTTCCCCAGGAATGCAAGGTTGGCTTAACATGTGAAAATCATTGTGCTTCATTCCATTGTAGATCAAGAGAGAAATATCACATTAGGAAAGAATGAAAAGATTCTACTTTCACATGAAACATAAAATTCAATTTGAGACAGATCACAAACACAAGTGTAATGCAAATTGAAAAATTTAGAAAAATAAAGAATTGAAGAAAACAAAATATCTTCTTGTACTTTAAATAGAAGGCTTTCTGCATGTCACATATTTCTTTCTACATATAGAAGTAAAAATCACAAATGAAAACAATTGATTTCATTAAAATAGAAACTATTGCTCATTGATAGGCAACCACCATCAAGAAAAAATTTGCAGGACATATAGCTGACAAAAATTTGTGTCCAAAATATATCAAAAATTTCTGAAACCAGAGATTAAAAGTAAAGATACCAATAACAACAATAATTTTTATCTTAAGACTCAGTAATCCTACTACTACTAAGGAGTTATCCAAGAGAAATAAAAACATATGTATACAAAAGTACTTTTGTAAGAATGACTATAACTATTTTATTCATAAACACCCACTTATAATTCCTTTCTTTCCTTTTCTTTCTTTCTCTTTTTTTTTGGTGCCAGAGATCCAACCCAGGGCCTCGTACATCATACATGTGCCCCCCACCAAGTTAATGAGCTATTCCCATGGCCTAATTATAATTTCCAATCAACTCCAAACAACCCAGGTGTCCTTCAACAGGAGAATGGATCAATAAGCTATGTTGTATTATTTGATGGAATACTAAACAATAACAGTATTTAATCTACTTGTATATATAACCACCTGAGTTTTACAATTATTGTGAGTGATGGAAGTTCAAAACAAATATTACGTATTATATGATTCCATTAATGTACTGTTCTAAAATAGTGATGATAGAGATCAGATCATTCATCTGCCCATAGATAGGGTACTGGTAGAGACATGGGGTAGCAGTGGGAAGGAGTAGACGGGAACTTTCTGAGATGGTGGAATTGTCCTCTGTGTCTTGACAGGCATTCCTCATAACTGATTCAAAGTAGCTTTAAAATCCAAGTCTTTCCATGAATATCATTTTTAACTCAGTTCATACACAAAATGAATGACACTGAATAACTATATGTTTGATAAATTTATATTGCCATGTCTTTAGAAATAGGCTAAGAATGTTACAAGAGAAGCAGGAGGTATAGTAGTGAAGTAAAAAGAGAACTTGGCTCAGTACACATGGTTGTTTAGGACCAATGTCAATACCTGTATCAGTCCAGCCCAAACTGAGAAAGAAGGAACTTCATTAACCTTCAGATGAAACCTCCAGGGCAGAGAGATTTGAGAAAGAGGTAACTTGATCATTTTTTTTACCCTACAATTCCCAATCTCCCTAAAAGGAATAAATCAGTTTTATTGTAGAACAGCATATTAAATACACTGTATTTTCAGGAGCACAAGCTCCCTTGCCTCTAATATTTCCTCCTTGCTAAAACCTAAGTTGCAATAAAATAAAAGGACATAATTATTTTACTTCTCAACTCAAAACAATAGGCTTAAACTATAAATGCATGGTTAAGATAATACTTCAGGATAAGTAGATTTTATTCTAGTAGAATCTGAATCTTAATGCAAATAATTAAGCACTGATTCTTCCCTTCCCATTTCTGGTAGTGTAGAAAAAAGAGAAGAAATACTCCAGTTCAACACACATTTACTAATCTTGCAACATGTGCTAAATTGGTGGCTTTCAAGCTTGTGTGACTGTGACCTTTAGTAGAATTGTAATTTATATTGCAGCCCTCTGTGTATGTACGTATGTCTAACTAACACTTATTATATAATAAAGCCTATTCTTGCTCAAAGATGCACTCTTTTGTATTCTAGTCTGGTACAGTCTGCTTCATATCTACAAAAATGTGGTTGTGACCCACCAGCTTCACTAACAAATAATAGGTTATGAACTGTGGTTTGAAAAACACAGTGCTATCCTTTCCACTCAAAAATACTCTCTGTGGACCAGCAACAGCAGCAGCAGCTGGGGGCTTGTAAGAAATGCAGAACCTGAACTGCTCTTCACCTACTGAATCAGAGTCTGCATTCTAGTCAAACCTCTAGGTGCTTCCTGTGCATTAACAATGTCAAAAGCCTTGTGGTAGACGGTACATGAAAGGCTGCTTTGGATTGATGGGAGTCTTCTCCATAGCACTTCACACTGAAATTCTTACTCAGGGATAGTTTGGGTTTTTTTTTTTCTAGAATATTATATCCAAGCCCCAGATTAAGCTATTAATTCAGTATCTCCAAGAATGTTCCTGGACATTTATGTTTAAAAAAAACCAAGTAAATAAGTAAACAAACAAAATCTACCAAAACTCTTGAGCCCAACTCTATTTAAGAACCATTGGCCCTACAGGGTTAAAAGGAAAGTGTGCGTTAATCTAATTGTGTATTGCAAAGATGAAAACCTGTGTTTCAAGTAGTATGGAGAGAGTTTTCTTTATTTTTCATTGTGAGTGCCTTCATATAAAGGCATTTTATTCCCAGAATATTTACTGATAGGGGTGTTGCTATGGCTTCTTCTGAATTTAACTTCTCCTTACAGGAGAACTTCCAAACATCTCCATTCTACCAATAACTGCCCTTTTATAGAAATGTGCTGTGACTTACAGTAGAAGTATTAGTATTGGTCCTGATGAGTTCATAAAGTTTGTCCCTGTATCCAATAGATCCCCTACCAAGGATCTCAGCTGCTGAAGAAGTGGGGCTGCCCCTAAGAGGCTATCACTGGTCATTAAGGGCCTTCCCATCTTGATTGTATGTTTCCTGAGTGATGGGAAGTTCTAGCCTGGAAGTTGCCTATCTTGCTAACACTAAAAGGCTCTCTCCCATTAGCAGCTTCTGTGTTGCATTAATAATAAGAAAGTAATAAAGAGACCAGGCTCAGCTGTTCAGGCTCCCTTGTGGGAAGGCCCCAGTTTTCCTCTTATCCCCATGGTCCACTCTAATGGTCTCGTCTGTATTTGAGTAGTAAAGTGGTTGATAAGACAAGTGCTGCTCTTTTTTCACAGTCTAAGATTCCTTCCTTTAAAAAAAAATCCAGATTAAAAACTATGCCATCAATATTTTCATAATTAAAGTTGACTTCTTTAATTCATAAGTTAAACGCAAGTTAAGATCATCAAACACAGGAGAAAATTTGTTCGTTTAGAAAAAATAAGTCTCCCTATATTTCCTGGAAGAACTATAAAACAGAGAACTCTCCTGGAGACCTTTTCATGTCTCTTTCTTTTTCTTATCTTTTTTGTATATCAAGTCTCTCATCTACCGAACAATACATTAAAATCATTGAAGATCTTTATCTTTGTAAATATTAAAAACTCTCTTTTTAAAACAATAATATATGTTAAAACAAACTAAGGTTGCATTTAACAGGTTAAGAGGACATATTCATGATGTGTTAGAGTTCATAAAGATAGGATTGGCTCATGTTACCTTTCTGTTGAAAATACATGATCTTTTGCAGAAGCACACTTTTTAATGTTTTTAAACATCTACTGTAGAGTACAGAATCTGTCCACGGAATCTTATATTTACAGTAGTTTTATATCTTGATTGGGTTAGCAGTCATCCATCACCTCAAAAGCATTGCTCATTCCATGCATTTAAAATGCTAGAAACTTTCTCATTTTATACCATTGTGTTCTGAGTTTGAACAACAAATTTTATAATTAACTTTTGCTATTTTTATACCTACACTTTGAGAGGAAGGTCCAATATCAATAATCATCATCAGTGACTCAATATATATATTTAAAATAAAATTTATGCTCATAACTCTCACGGAAAATCACTGTGGTGATCTTCATGTAATACTGATGTGAAAGTCAAGAAATTACTATGAAAAACTGAGTTATCTTTTAGAGATTTATAGTCAATATATTTTCCTTGTAGTAGTTAAGGGTTTGAGGGGGAAATGATGTATATCTAATAAGGCAATTCCTCCTATCTAGTATTTTTCATTTGAAAACCTTCTTCAAATGAAAAGAAAATCTATAATTTACGAATAAGAAAATGGTCAGTCTTTTTTAAATATATATATAATATAGAGTCTAGATTTTTCCTCTACAAGGTAACAATCCGAACTCTTTTAACTAAGTAACTCATATGTGATCTGCTTATTATCTAAGCAATTTTCATAAATTGTGTACACCCTCTTGATAGTTGCTTTTTTCCTGCTTATAAAAAGCAGTTTTCACTCCATACCAATGGGTAGCATAGTACTATTAGAGTTATTCTCAACGTTCTTATGAAGCCCCACTAACAAATAGGCCCGCTGGGAAGTAACATCTTAAAAACAGATTTGCCTTAAAGTTTTGATATTATGCACACTTATCTGTATTTCCTTTGCTTATGTTTTTCTGTCCTACAGTCCCTGAAGGCTCTGGAGAAACCAGTCAAAAGGAGACATCCACCTGTGATATTTGCCAGTTTGGTGCAGAATGTGATGAAGATGCCGAGGATGTCTGGTGAGATGCTATTTTTAGTCTTTTAAACAAAATAATGCCATTGATTAATTTATTTTTATTTATCAGTCATTCTTCAGAGGAAGACATTGTCAGCATTTTTATTTCCTTCTAATTTCTGCATGGGGCTTGGGGTGGATTAAGGCTATAATAGCAACAAGGAATTTCTGGAGCTGGATTAAGAAATGGGCCAGCCAGGCAGGCTGTGCAAGGTATTTCTTGATAAAATACACTAAAATATCATAAGGTCCCCTAAAATATTCAGTGTTATTACAGCTAGGGAAAAATCATATTTACTAGAGTATCTCAAGAAACATCATCAAGAAAAAATGAATGGCTGCTAAGTTTGTTCAAGCTACTATAATACCATATACTGGGTACCTGATAAACAACAGAAACTTATTTCTCACCATTCTAGAAGCAGGGAAGTTCCAAGATCCAAGCTTGAGCAGATTTAGTGTCTGGTGAGGGCCTGCTTTCTTGTGCACAGCCTTCATTTCACTGTTCCCTTACACAGTAGAAGGCACAAGAAAGCTCTCTGGGTTTCTTTTATAAGAATACTAATCCCAATCATGACGGCTGAGCCCTCATGACTTTATCAAACCCCCACTTCCCAATAGCATCCATCACCTTGAGGGTAAGAATTTTAACAAATAGATTCACATAAACCATAGAAACCATAGACGTTGCTGATATGATTTCTAAGATGTAGGTCTGAGTAACTTTGAGATTTATGATAGGGAGTATGCATGTATTTATAGTTGAACTGGTGACACTTAAGCAAAAAAAAAAAAATCTCTGGCTGCCCCACTAAGATCATCCTCTCCTTTCCTCCAAGTAATATTTGGCAACACTTTTGAAGATATATGAAACAAATAATCGATAATATCCATGACATTTAGCTTTCTATGGCATCCACATGTATTGGTCTTGGCCTGATCATATATCAAAGTAAATAATCTAAAATTAAGAGTGAGCCTTCTGTGTCATAATAGTGAAAAGATGCAGTCAGTCTCTCTTTTTCCTCCCCTTACCTTTCTTCTTCCTCTTCTTTCTCTTCCTCCTCCTATGAAATTCAATATGCAGATTACTTACTTAGAGCAGTTCACAATCATGGAAATCAAATTTTTGTGAGTAGAAGGAGGAATCCACCTATGGGAAATGAAGGAAACAGAGAAAATGCAGACAAGATAATTTTAGCAGGAGTGAAACAGCACTCACAATATCTCTTAATGCAAATTAAGGTGAACCTTCCATCTGAGAAAACTGGGGTACTTTCAGGTAAATTAAATAATTATCCATTCATAAAAGTAGCCATTAATAGCTTCTATTCCTGCCAAACACTTGTAGCAATTGGGCAGATAGGAGTTGCATTGTGGAGTCTAGCCACTTGCTTGAGGTAAACAGATGGATATATATTTTCTTAAGAACATCCAGGGCATCCTAATGGATGATAGATTTGTGATTCTCAAATGTGATAGATCATCAGAGTTACTTTTGGAAATCTTTAAGTTTACCAGTTCTTTAGTTCCACCCGAAACTTAATGGATCCAAATTTCAGAGAAGTGGGGCTTAAAAATTTATTCTTCTAAAACTCCTTACGTGAATACAAAAATACTGCTTTAAAATAAATGGCTAACTCAAAGAATCTTTGAATGCATCTGTAGTTCAAGCTTTCCTTTAGTAATGCCATGGGTCTCTTCTTCTAGTTTCTAATCTTTTTAACCATCATTTTTAAGCAACATAGTTTCATTATTCAAGTACAAATATTTATGACATGAGATTATAGTATCAGCTAAAATTATTGGCTGCACACTATGTGCTTCATTATTTATAAACATTTTTTCTCTGTTATTTTCAAAATAACCATAAGAGATAGGTTCTATTATTGGTTTATTTTACAAAGAGGAACCAAGAAGTTTCTAAGTAGCAAGGCCAAGAAAGAAATAAGGTGAAAGTAACCAAAAGGGTGGTGGCAGGACGAGTCAACCAAAGATGCAATTAAAATATACTTCTTTCCTGTCGTGTCTAGAATAATGAGATAGCCAAATTGCAGGCAGTGTATAAGCAGTGACTCCCAAGACCTGCAGGTTAGAGCTGGTGACCAGGAAGATGTTATGGCAGGCAGTGGGAAACCATCCAAGAAGCATACTTGTGGTATTCTTGAAAAAGTTCAGATAGATGGTGTGAAGGAAGTTCAAGGAGATATAGGCAAGACTGGTGGTATCAGAATGGTTCAGAAGTTGTCAATAGGGACCAAACATGGTATCTGATGTTCAGAAAGAGAAGCTTAATTATAAAGGGTACAAGAAGAAGTATGAAAGCATAGCCTTAGTCATGGAGGAATTGGGTATCAGTCAGGAAAATGAATTAAGGACTGAAACAGGAAGGAGTAGATGGATATCCACTTAGTGGGAGAGCTATAAAAAGCCAAACCTTGGATAGGAAATGTGTAGCCTAAATCTAGGAAATAAATGACAAGATCAAAATGAAACCAGCAGCAAGACCAACTGGATGCTTGATCAACTGATGATCCAAGCTTTTGGCCAGGCTATCTTGTATGCCCTCAGCCTAGAGACAAGATTCATTCCAAATTTTGGAATAAGTCGGAACCTCCAGATGGGGGCTAAGTGGCCATAGCTGTGAAGATTAGATGGCTGCAGGGGCAGGGAGCCAAGAAGATCATTATACTTCCCAGGCAAGAATGAAAAGTTATTAACATTTAAGTAAAATGTATTTAAAATGCCCAATGTAAGCAATAAAGAATGGTGCCAAAATGAGTGCATTGATTTTCATTTACATAAGTACCTTTGTATGTTAACATATTGTATTTAGTTATGGCCATGAAGGGCAGATTGGAAACAGCTGAAGGACACAAGAATAAAGCAATAAATGAAATTAAATAGGCATGGAATGGAAGAGCCATAAAGTAAGATAGGAAGCAATTGGGGATTGATGTGAGTACAGTACTAGTCAACAGAATCTTCACTGCATCCAGTGAGCTTCAATACACTGTTGATTGTGAATGAAACCATTGCCAGATCCTCTTGAAAATATAAAAACTGCATGTGCTATGTGATAACAAAGAGCAAAACTCAGCATTCAATGTTACATTTTGCCTTTTACACCAGCTTAACCATAATTCTGTGCATACAAATTTCCTCAATCCTGCACTATGAAGTAATAGTGAGATATAAGTAAATATTAGTGAGAAATAATATTACTGTGTCTAAGAAATACACATAAAGGTGAAAAATAAATTCCTTATCTTTCTTTAACCCTACCCTAAGCAATTAATATTTTACATTTTGCCACAAGGGCTAAGTCTAGGTCCTCAAACATACTTGAAGACTTTTAAGGCGAGTATAAATATTTTGTTAGTATTAAGTCAGTGCAGTCAGCTGATCATCTTTTCATAGTTAGATGAGCTTTTGAGTTAAGGAGCAAGTCACACTTGAAATAGAAAAGAAACAAAATAAAAGTGATTGTGAAAAGGAGAGTTAAAAAAGAGAAAATAATAATTAGAGGGTGGCATTGATACACCATAATTCTAATGACATAACATTTAATGCTTTTATTTTGAAAAAACAGATGGCTATAATCTAATATAAGATTGAGTTTGTGTTCCATGATTTCATTTCTAGGTTTTCTCTTGTCTTTTTCTTCTTATAGAAATATCAAGCCTGCAAAATCAGAATAGGTCAGGTATCTTAGAAGGAAAGACAACAAGATGATTGCTATAAAAGATTCTTCAGTTATAGATATTTACTTAAATGTAGGAAAGGATTAAGCTTCCAAGAGATATAGTTAAAATTCAGAAAAATGGATGGTCCATACTGCAGTATTTCCACTGTCATAACAAAGCCATCCTTTATTTAAGGTGGAAACACCTGAAACAGCTGCACAAAGGGACATGTGATGCCTGAAAGAGGTTGGGGGTAGGGAGAAGAACTTGAAAGAGTGTTTATATTCAGACTGACAAGAGTCAAAACTAACACATTTATACATCAAAGGGACTCTCAAGTACACCCTACCAACTGTACTTCATAAATAAAAAGAATGGCTTATAAATAAGATAAACATAATAAATTGATTCATTGTAAAGTAATAAAGCCCCATTTGATAGCACTGGGAATACCAACTCATGATTTCAACAAATATATCTGATACTTGGTTCATTTTAGAAACAGTTTTATCTTCCTTTAATTATCTCACCTGATAAATTATCTCAGTAAGTCCAAAGTAGGTCAGTAGTAACTCTTTGCTCTAGGAATTATTCCTTAAAAGTAATTAGCCTGGCACTTTCTGTTGGTCCTGTCAGTCAGAAGTAGTTCAGAGCCCATGGGTTGATACTTGATTTAATGTATTTTTTTTTAAAAAAAAGCAAGTTGAAAGCTGGTTGTGATCATAAGAATGGCTGGATTTGAAATTGGCTGTGTGCCTATATTTCCAGGGCATCAGAATAATCAAAGAAGGGAGCACAGGTGTAAGAGCAGATGCAGCCAGATGATAAAGGACATAAAGAGACAATTTAAATTATTATATGTCTCTGCTTTATACAAATGCTTTATAGCTGTTTATTCCTCTTTTAACTTTGCTTTTGCAGTATATCTACATGCCCACTCAGGCTCCATTAGCAAAATTATATTGGCTTAAATGCTATTAATTTCTCAGTAGTCATTCATTTTTGTCTCTGAAAGCATTAGTAATGTTTTCCAGTACTACAGTGCTTGTCCACAAATATATAACATCTTTGTGATCAACTGTAATGGTAAGAAAAGAGAGAGTTCACAAGAGAGAAAGACTAAGCATCTATTTTTCTTTTTTTTCACTAATGTTCATAAGTAAAATGGAGTGTAAGATTTGGCATTTCTTTTGTGAGTATCTCTCACAAAGCCCATTTAGTTTGAAGTCTTTAACATCCTGCTCTTTCGATCTGAGAAGGCTCCTTGTCACTAGGAAGACTCTGTTGTTGGCATCTTTCCTACCTTTAATGCATTTTG